AAAAAAAAAGTGCTGCCAGAATTTCGTTTTACCTCTTCAACATTCCTAGAAGAGACAAGATCCAGTGCTAACTGCAGAGTTTTCTTTCGTACTTCTAAGTCTGGCGTGCTTAATACTCTTAGGATATCCATAACCAGATCCTTAAAAAGGACAAAAAAAATCAAGAATTAACATTGATCTTTCTAGTCACAAGAAGAAAGTCTTCACTGCAGAACGGTGGGCTTTATCCATCATCACTTAAATCCTTTAATCAATAACAAAACCACTAGTGGTGGAAAAACTAGATATTTTGGCTCTCCTGATATACTGCAATATGAAATAATAGTACATGACACATTCAAACCGACAATGTTTACTCTAACTCTGTCAAGCTTTGGCCCCAACTTACAGTTAATATAGAACAAGCTAAAAAGCATAAGAAAGTAGTCATACACATCCATGAAGAGGGCCATTTTATATTATTACTGGTCTGGTCTCTTCAACAAATCAGTGTCATGAAAGAAAGATACTGTTCAAAATTAAGAGACTGAATGGGCATAACCACCAGGTATGATACATGGTCACAAACTGGACAAACTAAACAAAAAGGGCTTTTAGGAAAACTGGGAAAATCTTAAATATGGATGTGGTATTAGGTAACACTAATAAATTATTAACAATTTTGTTAAGTGGGATATTATTTGGCTCCATAAGAAAATGTAACATTTAAAAGATGCAAGACAATTAGAAACTGATAAAAAAGCTCTAAAACGTCTAACAATAAACTCCTGTATATCCTTCACCTACATTTACCAGTTAATATTTTCCCACATTTGCTCTTTTCTTTTTTTCTGAGATGGAGTCTCACTCTGTTGCCCAGGCTGCGGTACAGTGGCAAGATCTCAGTTCAATGCAACCTCAGCCTCCTGGGTTCAAGCAATTCTTCTATCCCAGCCTTCTGAATACTTGGGACTACAGTCGCATGCCACCACGCCTGGCTAATTTTGGTATATTTAATAGAGATGGGGTTTCACCATTTTGGTCAGGCTGGTCTCGAACTCCTGATCTCAGATGATCTACCCACCTCAGCCTCCCAAAGTGCTGGGATTATAGGTGTGACCCACCACACCCGGCCCACATTTGCTCTTTACTGCTAATCACTGTAGTGTATCTCTCTCAAGGATAAGGATAATTTCTTAGATAATCACATTATAATTATGAGATAATTTAACATTGATCAATACTATTAATTAATATACACACTATATTCATATTTCTCAATCTGTCCCAATAATGTCCTTCATAGCAATTTGTTGTAGCTCTTGTTGTGATCCAAGATCAGCATTGCACTTACTTGTCATGGGGTCTTATTTTTATAACTACTATTATTCTCATGGATTCAACAAATATGATGATAACTTTCTAGAATCCGATCATGTTTTATTCTCAATCAATTGGTATAATGATTTTCCAAGAAATATAAATTATATTCAAATTAAAATGAATATGTCACAATTGCTAAGAATAGTCGGCCGGGTGCAGTGGCTCACACCTGTAATCCTAGCACTTTGGGAGGTTGAGGCAGGCGGAATGCCTGAGCTCAGGAGTTCAAGACCAGCCCGGGTAACACAGTGAAATACCTTCTCTACTAAAATATAAAAAATTGGCCAGGGGTGGTAGCATGCGCCTGTAGTCCCAGCTACTCAGGAGGCTGAGACAGGAGAATTGCTTGAATCCAGGAGCTGGAGTGGCAGTGAGCTGAGATGGCACCACTGCACCCCAGCCTAGACAAAAGAGTACAATCCTATCTCAAAAA